AACCCCCAGTCCAAGCAGAAGTGGCCTCCAGCAGCTGAGCATCAGGTAAAGGCCTATCCTCTGCCCACAGATCAGTATGGGTAGAGACGTCTGCATATGGCTCTGTTTGGGGACTGTTAGCTTCTTCCTTGGAAACTGACTGCTGCTTGGTAAAAATGTATCTATAGTTGACACTGAGCCTAGGCTGCAGGAATTCACCTCTAGAGAGAATGCAGAGCCCCTTTATTATCCCATCTTCTGATCTGAGATACGAGGGCAGAACCCAATGGGCCAGTCTGGATTGGCTAATAAATTCATATTTGTCCAGGTAGTGTCAGCACATGATTCTAATCCCTGCACTTGGGAGGCAGAGGCAAGGAATTTCTACATTTGAGGCCAGTCTGATCTACAGAGTGAGTTCCTGGGAAGCCAGGGATACACAGAGAAACCCTGTCTCAAAGAAACAAACAAAAACAAAACAAAACAAAACAAAACAAAACAAACCCAAAACTCAAAAAAAAAAAACAAAAAAAAATCTACAATTCCATATTTGCTGTTTGGGTTTTTGTTTGTTTTTTGTTGTCATTTGTTTTGTTTTGTTTTTTAATTAAAGGCAAGCACTGCTCCACCCAGCTTCAATCCATATTTTCCATGAACTGAGGTCAATGGGCCCTGTGTCTGATAGATTTAAACTAGGAGTTTGAAAGGGAAACCCCCTTCATGATAGGGCTGCAATGGCCTAAGCAGAGGATGAGCATGGAGAGAATCGAGAGCATCCACGGCCTCCTTCCCATGTGCCCCAAAACTCAAAAAAAAAAACAAAAAAATCTACAATTCCATATTTGCTGTTTGGGTTTTTGTTTGTTTTTGTTGTCATTTGTTTTGTTTTGTTTTTTAATTAAAGGCAAGCACTGCTCCACCCAGCTTCAATCCGTATTTTCCATGAACTGAGGTCAATGGGCCCTGTGTCTGATAGATTTAAACTAGGAGTTTGAAAGGGAAACCCCCTTCATGATAGGGCTGCAATGGCCTAAGCAGAGGATGAGCATGGAGAGAATCGAGAGCATCCACGGCCTCCTTCCCATGTGCTCTTTGCAGAGCAGGACTTGCCACAGTGGCCTAGGGGCAGAACTGGGCCTCAATCCCAACCTGGGCACCCACCACAGGACACTCCTAATCATTTTTGGTCATGTTCACAGCCTTTGTCTTCCTGGGACCTAGAGAGGTCCCAACCCAAGTCAGTCAGTCTGTGATTGCAGCAAGATTGTATCTTCCATGCCTGCAGCCAGCCATGACAGGGGTGGGGGTGGGGTGGGTATGGAAGAAGACCCCAAAGAATAATTAGGAGCAGAGTAAAAAAAAAAAAAAAAAAAAAAAAAAAAAAAAAAAAAAAAAAA